TACTGTCAGATTTTTATACGAAATTATATTTTCTTACGTCGCATTTTTTATGATAGTATAATTTTATTTTATGAAAATAAAACAACTCCAATAAATTTTATAAAATGTATTTTTTTTTTCAACTATCTTGGAGTTTTTTATTTTCAAATTATGCTGTAAATTACTTAATTAAATAGATCTTTTATTATGAAACTTGAAAATGTCAATATTTTAGTTTATATTTTTTGCCTAATATTCGATCGTAAACAAGCTCTGTGGTATGCGCAGGATGTTGCAACTTAAAACTGGTTAAGATCTAATAATTATATTAAATCTTGCTATTAATATTGTGAGAATGTATTAATTATTTGAATAATTAACAGACAAAATGAATTCCACGATATTTTATCATTGTTTTAATGTTTAGATTATATTTAATGCGATTATCTTGTTTCACGAATGACAGAAAGTTCCAAACACTAATGTGCTATGTACATCTGAGTGACTTTAATTAAATAAATGAACAATGATCTTTGTACTTCTAATGCATTAGAATTGCACTCATGTATCGCAATATACATACCACTAGTTTTAATTACAAATTTAAAAATCCAATGAAATGTCATTTTCCAAAACGAAAAACCTACATAAAACAACAATAAACAATGTTTTTACATTTACCAACAAATAAATCTTATTGCCTAATATATAAAATGAAAAATTAATAAAAAGAAGAATAATGTCAATTTCAATTAATTGTTTCGAATTTTTAAACTACAACTTATTATTGTATAGGTACGTACGGAGACATCTGGCAAAAAACTATAAATTTTACCCTTTAATCGCCTTACAAAATAATTTTAGACAATTGATCAAGTAATTTATGTGTCAAGCATTAAGATTTAATACACATTATATTATAAAGGATTATACTTTCTAGTGTATGTTAAGCACTGAGCTTCCCACCATCCAATTATGTTCTAAGGGATTTACCCTATTAACAATATATAGAGCCAATAAAAACGTTTATGTAAATACTGAAAAATTGGCTTTAAAAGACTAACAGCGATCTTAGAAATTTGAAGTACCACCAAATTATTAATTCTGATTCCTTATAACTAAAAAAAATTCATTGTAATAATTAAATATTTTTATAATTTAAGTTAACGCATTTCAATGAAAATATTTCAGTAAATACAAACACCCGACTATTGGTTCTCACCCTTCGGGGTTTCTTAGATTATTTTATGAATTTCAATTTCAAAAATTCACTTTCAATTAATTTAATTATCTGTAGAAAATAAAACTTCAATACTTATTAAAATATTTTAAATATTATTACAACTAAAAAGAATTTGCAATGTTATTCTATATTAATTTACTGAACTATTTAAATGTGAACTTTGTTAACCGGCACTGTTTCTTACTCAAATATAAATACTTTTCAGCTATATGTCTTTAGTGAAGTAATTCAAAACTTATTAAACCACCTTTCAATTATATTTGGTCACTAGTTTAAAAAAAACAAACTACGAGAATTTTTATCCAATCCTCGGACAGAATATAAAATGTTCTATTCAAATCAAAGATTACAAAAATATTATAAATTTACTTTATAATATACTCATACATAAGTATACTCTTATAGTAAGTTTATAATCTATTCATAAGTATTACTCATACCCTATTGAAATACACTTAAATGAAGCGCGAATAAAATGATAAACTATTTGAATATAAAAGTAGTTACATAAGTACTATTGAGTAAAAAATATGTAGCATATTTTGTGAACCATGAGATACAATTACAATAACTTAAAAATGTGTGTGTTAGTTTATTTATATTAAATAATCGTTAATCAGTTATTTTTTACGTCTCCGTTTTGCTCATTTTTCATCTATAGAAACAAATTAATTTTGTAGAAAATATCAACGTAAATATAGTTAGGTGCTTTAAATCTGTTTAATTAAATGATTTTTTACTAGGAGAAAAATGTAAAAAATAAACAAACTGTTGAAATAATAATTTTAACTGATAATTGATAGATACAATTAATTACAAAAAAATCGCGTATATATTTTTTTATAATAATAAATATAAAAATTTATATTTGTTTTCAATCTAAAAAAATGAGCATAAAGCAGTTATGTTTTTGACAAGACAAAATTTTACATTTTTTTTTTAGTGAAACCAATACATAATCTAATAAAATAAACTAAATTATAATGTGACAACTCAAATTGCATCAGTTACGAATAATACGAGCAAAAAACTTTATCAAATTAAAATTAAGATTATAAATAGCGGTGTCACTTTTTAAGCAACCAACTTATAAAGATAAAAAAATTTCAAAAGAAAATAATTTAGTAACAAATATTTTGTTGTTAAATTTGTATTTCCTTGATCTAATAATGTACTGTTAAAACTTTAAAACTATCAAATTAAAATGCATTTCAGCCCTTTAATGTTGAAGAAAATATCTGTTCAATATTGTTAAACTAATCACATATAATATCACACAAGTATCATCATTAGCTATTAACGTTGAATAAAGTACATAAACATAAATAGTACTTATATTTGACCCAAATAAATTTCTGTGATCTTATTTGATCTCTATATAATTCCCTAAATTATCATAGTCAAGCTAGACATACTTTACTTTTAATGTGATTCAAAAAAATAAATAAATGTAAAACGTAGAAAAGTACAAAAAATACTTATTGAGTCGTATTATCTATATGTAGCTGTAACTCATTGTATATAAGGTGTCACTCTTTAGTTAGACAGATTAATCATGATTAATCTTTATTGTGTTTATAAATATCATACAACATGAAAAAAATCAATATAACGGAGATTAGTTTAATAACAATTTTAGAAGTACAAGTTAAAATTACTCGATCTGACAACTGTATTGCCACCGCGTTTTAATTTTTTAAACTGGTATAGTATACTGTCCTGTAATATTTACTTCTTCGGGTTATTTTTTCTTTTAATTGACGATGAAAAATTCGAATTGGTTAATAGCGGTAAACAAATTAATATTATGTAATAGTACCGTATTAACTTGACTAATTTAAATATCAACTACAACAAATCGTCCGAAAAAATAAACCTTCTTCGTTGATAACTTAAACATAATAAATCTATAAAGTATCTTTGCCGTTAGATTTTATTGAATAATATTTTTATTTATTAATAATTAATAGAACGCTACAGTGTTTTAATTTCAAGAACAAATATTTTCTAATTATAAACTATCCCAAAATAGCTTAAGTAGACGTTAAACTTTGACATCTTTTAACATCTAAATAATCAGATATTTAAAAAAAACAATTGAATAAAACCGAACATATTATTTTTTTTAACATGATATATATATTTCTTTAACTAACAGTAATAAATATTTGCAACTCGGATAATTGCTCGAACAAGCTTTTAAGCTTCAACAAAAATCATTTTACGATTACCTAACTTAAAGATCATTGTAAATTTATTTCATAAAATTTGATCAATTTGGTCTACGTAGCAGAATTTCACTACTACTTATTTATTTATTTTTTTTGTATTTAATCCCTTGGCTGAAATAATAAACAATAAATTTTTAAGTATGCAGCACCTTAGCTGTTTCTAGAGTAATAATAATGAACGTCTTTGAAAAAAATTGTGTAGCAATTTTAAATAACTAAATGAATTTACTAAGAAATTTATTAGCGAAGAATATTCGCAAAAACTTAATTAAAAATGTATTAATTTAATTTAGTAGTATATTTAAGGTAAATTAAATAGCTGCAGTTATTTAAATTTAAAAAACATTCGGCAATTAAGATAAATTTTCTATATCTATTCTTCGATTTTTATTTTCGCCCGAAGAAGTGTAAACATCGATTTTTTTTATTATATCATTAAATAGTGAGCTTTTTAAATTCTTTGTACATAATTAAACAATTATTAGTTTTATCACTAAAATAGCGAATTGTGTAAGCAACACTTTTCAACACACAGCATAACAAAAGATTTTCATGATTTTCTACTCAGAAAATTACAAAAGGGATGCGTCGTTAAATTAAAGTAGAAAATAAAATGATAGGTACTAATTGTATACAACTTTAATTTTTAGATAAAGAACATTGTGTTTACAACAAATTCTCTACATTTTTTTCATGCAATATTCGCATTATAAAATAAACATAACTAATTAAGTTTATCATAAACAATCAAAATCAATATATCAAAAATTAATTACACAGCTCTTTAATCATAAATTGATGTATAAATCTTCAATAGATAAACATGAAAAAATTTAGACCTTCAATATTGAAAGAATATATTTTTATACCATATAGTAATAATAAAAGCTTATATTGTTGCTCGATGATAATTTACTTGGCCCGAATTCCATTGATATGTGTTTATTAATTATTAATAATATTTTTCCTTTTCACCTAACACCGCAATCGCTAGCGCATCAAGAAAGAATGAAATGGAAACTTATCACCGTAACTCCAAGCTATGCAGATCGCGTTACCCTTTTTCAGACATCTAAAAACATTTTGCAAAAAAATGTTTAAAGGAAGTTATATTAAGGGGATATTATATTCGCTATCCTCTCTCCTTCGGCATAGATAATACCGTAACATTATTGGTTATTTGACCACAAATAAGCCACTGTCATTTTATCCCTAACTACTGATTAGCTATTACTTACATGTTTCAAATTAACTCATTAGACATTATTCTGGATAATTTTTTATTGTAAAATAAACTTTTAACGTTTTTTAATCAATGCTGCGATAATTGTCAATGGTACTTTGAAACCAGATTTGTTTACAGTTTGATAATCAATTGAGTAGTACCTAATGTGATTTGTGATCTCAAACCTATTGTGTTTGTCGTGTTTTTTAAGTCGTTATCGTTTCAACGAAAGAACCTACTTGATTATAATGGACCCCACAAAACACACTCCTCCCAGCAATTAACAAAACCATTTAACTTCTACAAAATTAACATTACTTACTTTTTGGTAAAAAAACGGTTTGGTAAGGGCAAGCCACCGTTCGACGGCCATAATGATAGCTACACACCCGGACCCAAGACCGAAGAAACGCCACAGGACTCGAAACCGGCACGACCAAACGCTCTTGGTGGTTTCCGGCCAGTACAGGGCGACGTACATTTGCACCAACATGCCGGTAAGTGCGATACAATCGTTTGTAGCCAAACACCGCAACATGAAACCGTGCTTTTGATTGCTACTAGACCGAGTCCGGTGCAATATTAGCAAAGCAAGCAGGTTACCAAAAATACCCACAGTATACGATACGGTTACGCCAACCTGGACTCCCAAACCCGGGACGTACCGGCACGGCGGCGACGGTGGAAGCACCGACGGCGACGGTGCGGTTACGTTGGACACGGCGGTCTCCATTACGGCACAAACGCGTTCTGCCGATCGGACTATCAGCTGTCCGCGGCCTCCCGATGCGTTTCCGTGCTCTCTCCCACCCCGCGATTAACGTACCCGCTGGCGCCCCCAGCACAAAGCGCGACCACCGCCGAATAGTAATCTCAAAATAATAACGCTTAGTATCGCTTTTAGTATTATGCATACAATATCAATAGTTGTTTAGTTCAATAAATACCCTACAAATAACTAGACATTTGAATCAAATATCTCATTTTGAAACGAGTTTCAAAATTTTAAATTTTGATGCATACTAAAAGTTCACACGTGATCTAGAATACAAAAACAGTAGAAGGCCCTCTAGTTTTCTATGTGCCCATAACACACCATATAAAAAATCACAAAGTTTTACTACAAAATATTTGGTTGTGGTTAGATAAATGTTCTTGTATAGCATTAAGTAGTATACACGCGTATTAAAATACCATAGGAAAATTATTAATGAAATAGTAAAATCTGGCGATGTGTGATGTTTTAATAAAATACCATTATTAAATTACAATTATAGCAAAAATACGTTTTTTGAATTTTAATAGTGTTCAAATACTTTTTCGGACACAAATAAAGAAAATAGCTCAATATTGACATAACGCATTAGTTTATAAATGATCAATACCAATAATTTTCTGCGAAAAAGAGTACTCAATTTCTTTAAAAACGATAACATAATTCAGAAATCCCTGACAAACTTGACAGTTTATACTCGTTAAACCTCACAATAAATTAACACGTTACCACACACCTCACACTTCTCGAAATAAACCGTATACTTATTTAAGATCGTATTTTAAAAGACACAAAGAAAAAACGATTTTTATTCACATTTTTATCTTTTCGTGTTTTATTGGTAATAATTATTAATTTCAATATTAGTTTTGAACAAATGACTACCAAAATACGACAAATTGAAATTTTTTTTAATAAACTGTATTTTCATTTCTTCTGACAATAAGTATGAATTAATATTATTAATATTAATATTATATTAATATTAACAATTGTTGGTTTTATGTAAATATATACTTATGTTTTATATTTTGCTAATATTATAAATACAGTAGTGATACAAAATAAAAATATAATTAATATTTACGAGATAATGAAATGTATTTCATTAAAACTTACATAAAATTCATTTAATTTTGTCAACATTTTATATAAAAATTTGTTGTAGATTAAATAAAGTATTCTGCTGTACAATTTTTTCGAAGACATTTTATTTTTACAATATTAGTTTGGTATATCTATTGTTACATAGATAGTAAAAGTCTAATTCATGTTCATTAGTTAGTAATTAGTGTAGATATTTATACCTTAGAATTTTTATGATTAAATCATTAAATTCAATATTTTTATGTACATAGTTAATGTATTAGCATTGTTAGAACATTAAATAGTTGTTGCTATACAATAATTAACAGGGTAACATTGTCATAAATTTACATAAATATTATAACTTTCTTACCTTATAAAGAAATAATTTAAATTTTTTCTTTCAACAAATCTATTCAATCAAATAAACTTATAATTGTAACTAACTCATTTTAAATATAAGAAAAACGATATAAAGGAAAAATAACTAAATGTCTTTCTTCAGTAAAAACTTTTTTTCAACCCCTCCCTAAAAATTAAATTAAAAATATATATCTAATTGCCTTAACCCTTATTTTTTGTGGTAACATTAAATAGTTACTATTTGTTTTAACATTCAAAGTGAAATGTATTTTATGCTCTTAGTGTATTTAATGACTATTTAATAAGTATCAAAGAGTTCTTATAAAAAGTATAATTTATAAATCAATCTTCATGATTTATAAAAGTTATACTATACAAATTAAAAGACAAAGTAAAAAAAAAAAATAAGTAGCATTATAGACATATAGCTACTGTGATATAGATAAATTGATTTTTTCATTAATTTAAGTAAAACATAACCATAATATGAAATGAAGTTTATAATTTTGAATGCACTTTAAAGGGATTTAAATTAGATCGTCTTATGTTTAAATAAATCAGGGTTTCTAAGAAGACTATGATCTACTACAAATTCTAACGTTTTCAAATTTTTAAATCATTATACCAATTTATTAAAAAAGTTATTGCAATGAAGCCTTTGGACGATTTTCAAAATTAAATCAATTTATTGATAAATAAACTTTTAATCCACCTTAGTCAGTTAGTATATATAAATTTTATTTTATTTTTCAATGTTAAAAACTTGACGTATTATTTGATATTTGAAAAAAAGTAGAACATGGAAGTCAAATGTAACATTTGTTGGTCACTATAGCAACCACACTTAATAAATATGATGCTATGAAATACAGCGACAACAGATTTTAAAACAATTGATGGTTTACTTTTTGGGTTTATGCAATTTTTTTTCCTGCATTAGTAGCCACTACTCCGTAAACTATTAAGCAATAGTAAGGTTTCAACATTATTGATGAATAAAATAAAAAAAAGAATTAATGTATTTGAATAACATACAGAAAAAAATCTCTAAAATAATTACTAAAAGTGCAATTAAGCTTAATATATAAGTATCTAATACTCGTTTCATTCTATTATGTTACTAGACTGTTTTAATAGCATTAAGTCAAGTATTAGAAGGCAAGTGTTAACCAAAAAAAGGTACCATGCTTTAAATAGCTTTAAAATAAGTAGAAAATGGCTAAAAACATAAGTTAAATAAAAGTTTTTCCTTTTTCATCAAAAATTAAATGAGTTGTAGGATTGATCCAATATTGGATAAATTATAAAAACACATTGGAACTCTTCATAAACATATTATTCCTATGAAAAAAATATAATTTGAAAAAAAAAAATTATCCAACTACAAAATTAAAAAAAAAAAGAATTATTTATATAATATTCACCCTTAAATGTCTATACCGAATATGGACTGCTTGATTTCCAAACCTAATATATCTTGGTCATTGTTAATATAGTAAGTTCCTTATTATTAAATAATGAAGAACGTAATAAGGAAATGAAGATTAAAAAGATTGAACCTTAATTCAAGCAATTAGTACCTCGATATATCATTCGAGTCACACAGCGCTGAAGGTTAGGCAACTCAAAATTTACATTATTAACAGTAAAATGAGTATATCTATGTTAATAACAAATAAATAATTAACTTATAAAATAGAACATGATTTAGTTAAAATGATGACAGATCGAAATCAACTTTTGAACGAGTGTATCGGTAACTATTTTTTTTAAATGTGCATTTTTGTGCATTATTCAATAACATAAAGGTTACATATATTTTACTTTTAATTTTGTGAGGTTACAAAATAATGCTTGTCAAGTACTTCGTAATATACCTAATATGCCTAACGCAAGTTGAGTGATGTTAAAAATGTGAACTTTTCACCAAATCTTCTATACGAGGTCAACTGGTTATTACTTTATAATAACGGAACATCGCATAGAACTCAAAAGAGCTAACATTATAAATATTTAGAAATCTATGCGATGATATTAAGGTCATAATCAAGTTTGTTAATTTCACAGGATATTCAGGCAACATTACACTACATAATATTTTGGCAGTTATAATTCACTAATTAATAATCTCATCTTGAAAACTTAATTTTTTTATAAAGTAATTATTAGATATATTAGTTAATCATATTCAGGCGCATTAAATAAAAAGGGGTTTAGCAGCCTTTCACTCTATATATCTTTAAAAGCATATAGGGTATTGACATTTTGTTATTAATATAAAATCTCGTTAAAAAAATCAATGAAATGTTTTTATATATTTTTTAATGAAAAAATTCTAAATATATAAAACAATTTTAAAACTTGAGACCTGTTTAAATGAATGAAAGGAATTATAGCCCATTTTGAGCTTATTAGCTTCGATGCGAAGCTGAGAAGGTATTAGTTTTACTATAATGTTTTTTTTTTTTGTGTCTGTTACCACTTTTTCTCAGCTCTCACCGAACGGATTTCTTTCAACGATACGTCAAAAGATCACAAATCGTATCTAGTCGAAGACATTACCCTTAAAAATTGAAAAAAATTCCCCCGTTCCCCGTAAATGGGGGAAACCTCCAAAAAAATTAAAAATTAAAAATCGCTAATTTTCGAAATTTTTTCAATTTTTTTTACTTAAAAGTGCCATAACTTTTTCAAAAATGAACATATCAATATAATTTTTTTTTATAGATGCTTGATGTCTTTACCTATCATTTGATATATTTTTTTTGTAAATTTGACCCTTTATCTGCCCACAGGGGGTGATTTAAAAAGACAACTTTTTCACAAAAAATTAACTTTTTCAACTTAACTTTTGAAAATGTTCCGGAAGGTCTGACACTTTTATATATATCTTAAATTAATGCTAATGTAATATACTTTAATTTAAAAAAAAAATTTGACCTCTGGACTTCATGGTGAAAATGGCTACCGAATGCTATTTTTGTGTGAAAATTCTCGATTTTATTTTTTACATTTTTAACTTTATAATGCCATAACTTTTTGAAAAATGTATGGATCCACACAATTTTTTTCTGAGAAATAATATTTTTTAATAAACCCTTTCTCGTTTGACATACTTTCTCTTAATCGAGATATTAATAAGGAACCAGCAGATCATGTAGCTTTTGGAATAAAACACCAATTTTTTTAAAATTTAACACTATCTAAAGATTTGCATTGAAGCGTTTTTTTTTATAGTGATTTTAATCACTGTCAGATATCATTATACTTGATCCAACTATACCACGACACCACTGTGCCGCGACCCCCCTGTGCTGGGTTTTTTTATTTCAATTTTAATTATAATAATTGAAACTCAAAATTCTTATTTTAATGATATTTTTTTTTTAATGAAAATTTTCGATCTAATTTACAATTAATATTTAAAATCTCTTTTCATTTATTTTTTATTCAACTAATTATTATTAATTATGGAAAGACCATATAACTAATTATAATCTTTAAAAGTATAACGTATTTTTACAATCCACA